GCCCACATTTAAGGAAAGAAAGGTTTATTTAGCTCACACTTTGTGGGGGTTCAGTGCATCCTTGGCTGGCTCCAAGGTAGAGTGGCACATGGCAGAGGGCAACAGTTTGTGGTGTCAGAAAACAGCAAAAGCAGCAAGAGCAGAAAGAGGGCAGGGGAAGCAAGCCTCTTTCCCGCCCCTATATTGTGTGTAAACTGCCTGCCCCAGGGTGGGTGTAGCACTCACACCCATAATCCCAGCACTGGACCAGGAGTCACTCATGAGCTCTAGAAGCCGCCCCATGACTGCCTAGGGGGACACCCAGACACAAACCATAACAGGTGGCCAAATTATGAGTTTCAGCCAGCATAGACAGTCAGGGCTACCTGGATCTGCAGCTCTGTTAGTGAAGCTGCTGGGTTTTAGAACTTTCTCTCGCTGGGTGTGGTGGCGCACGCCTGTAATCCCAGCACTCGGGAGGCTGAGGCAGGAGGATCACTGCGAGCTCGAGACCAGCCTGGGCTACAAAGTGAGCTCAAGGCCAGCCTGAACTGCATAGTGAGACCCTGTCTCAAAAAGACAAAAAAAGAGAACTTTCTCAGTCCCTCCCTGAGCCTCAAGCAGGGCTTCTGAGGCAGAATTTGGAGCGCAGTCAGAGTGAAGTACGGCACTCGGAGAAAGGAGAGGCCGCGCTAGCAGGAGCTGGGCATGTGGGGGGACCGTGAGGGTCTGCGGGTGGTGGGTCCCCACTGTCCAGCAGGCTCCTTATGGCAGGCGTGGCGGAGCACAAGCCATCCCTTCTGGGGTTTCGGGCTGAGACCTCTGCCTCCCCCGGGGCTGCTTGCTTGAGGGTGGAGGAAGCGCAGTTCACAGGTGGGAAGGACAGGCGCGGAACCGCACTTACAGGCTACTTGTGCCTAAAACTTCTGCCTGGAGCCGGGCGTGGTGGCGCACGCCTGTAGTCCCAGCACTGCTGAGGCTGAGGCAGGAGGATCTCTGTGAGTTCCAGGCCAACCTGGGATACACAGTGAGTTCAAGGCCAGCCTGAACTGCATAGTGAGACCTTATCTCCAGGAGGAAAAAAAAAAGATACAGGAAAATTTCTGCCTAGTTTTTATTTCTTCTAGCCTGCCTCAGTGGGAGGCAAATAAATTTGTCACAAAATGCCAGCACCTGCTTATTTTTTTGCCTCCTAGATTTTGGTAGATTATTATCAAAAGAAATTGTAGTTATCTGGGAGTTTTTCTAGGCAAGTTGCAGATAATTTAGGTTTTGTCCCGCTTACAATCTGTGGCCATCTCTGCCCCGTAATGCTACATCCAGAGACAGCTCTGACTAGAGTCCTCCTTCTCACATCCTGCTGTGGCTGGGGGACTTAATCTCCTCTCCTACCTCCCCTCTCAGTTTTTCCTCTTCCTGAGAATCGGGGCAGCCAGTGCCCAGGCAAGTGCCACCCACTGTGGACCTCCTGTACCAGACCTAGGCGCTTGTGCCCAAAGGATTGATCTCAGCCCCGTGTGGTGGCCCACGCCTGTAATCCCAGGACTCAGGATGCGGAGGCAGGAGTTTAGAAAGTTGGAGCCTAGCCTGGGCAATGGAGTGAGTTAATGAGATACTTTCTCATAGAGAAATATTTTTAAAGGGTTGGCTGGGGATATAGTGTAGTAAGAAAGCCCTGGGTTCTATCTCAAAACAAAAATAGATAAATAAATATATT